GGTCATAATGGTAGGAAGACTGATAGAAACGCACCTTGTCCCGAGTCCATTGTATGCATAATTATTTCCACAGTCGGACCGTGGACGTGGTACATTCCCAAACGTTTCTCCGGCATCGTCAGTGAGTATCGCCATCTTTAGACCACACAAACAACTCGTCAAAGAGACAAGTGAAGCCGATCCTTTGACCAGACTTGTGCTAAACAATTGTAGTATCTCCCCTTCTGCCCTGGGCTTCATGACGCTCAAAGAGGCACATCACACAATCTCAATAAACATGGTAAAAATTTTAATGGTGGAGGCATGATAGGATGATACCGAAAATGGGAATAACCCAGGGCAGAAGGGGAGATACCACAATTGTTTAGCACACGTTTGGTCAAAGGATTGGCTTCACTTGTCTCTTTGACGAGTTGTTGTGTGCTGCTGAGAATGGCGATACCCACTGACGATGCCGGAGAAACATTTGGGAATGTACCAGATCCATGGTTCAACTTTGGAAATGATCGTGCAGACAATGGACCCCGGACTAGATGCGTTCCAATAACTCTTCCTACCATCATGACCATGTTGCAAAAACAAGGTAAAACAACTTGTATACAACGAAAGGAGACTGCGACCACACAAAAGGTCACACCATCTTGGTCTTTATATCTTCGATTAAATAATTAAATTGATTCATTTTAGTCACGAACTATGCTTATTTTACCATTAAAAGTAAATGAGTATGAGAAAATACGAGGTCTAACTGTGTGATCTTGTTTATCCCTCATTTTTGTGGGTAGCAACGGCTCAAATGGAGGTTAAATTGTTTTAAGAGGCACTCATAGTTCCAAAATTGTTGTTTGGTGACATGGAACGATTGATTTGAGGAATCCATTGAGCTAATGATGAGACTAGATGACATTACTAAATGACTTTACAGTTGAGTGAGCCCCCCGTTTTCAGTGGATTTTACGTAACCTTGCTTCCCAAAAGGTATTGGGTATTGAAAAATTCAACTACCAATCGTTCATCATCTTAAACAAAATATTCTGAATGCATCTCTTTTAAAACAATTTAAAAAATGCTTACACAGTCAGGGTTATGACTGATGGTTTCCTAACCTGATTTGCGCACATACACATATTCACTTGTACAACCACGCAAACACACACACTAAAGCATACGACTAGTTGAACTGAAATTATCAGATACCAACTAATCCGTTCCATATCTATTTATGTATGTTCATTTATTTTTTAGTTTTTCTAATGTTTACAATTTAGCATTTCGGGTTGAGCTGGTTAGTCATCTTGAATGTGTGTTAACTTGAGGCTTTTACGAGAATGTGACCAAGTTTTGGCAAGATCTGTCCGGTCGCCACAACAAATATGGCTATTTCCACTACCCTTTTACTCTGAGCTGAACATGTTGACGCTACTACTTATCATTTTGCTAGTAATATGGATATTATCGACGGCGAAAGTTGGACGATATGCAGCTATTCTGGGAGCAGGGGTTGGATTCAACTATCTGGGGCCCAGTAGTGTTGGAATTCATTTCTGGTTGCTCAACTGGCGCTGCACGAAATATTGTGACTTGATTTTCCATTTGGAAGGAAAATTTAATTGAAAGAAGTTCATCAATTGGTCTCATCGAAAACCGAAGGAGCAGTCCTGGAATGAAGGCTGCTAGATTCTGCCCGAAATACGCAGTCATTCCACACTTTCACACGAAGGAAAAGTCGACACAATAATAGGGTATGCATATACGCTTGAGTGGTATCCGAAAGTGGACATTGCGAGATGAATGCCAACTTGCACAAGTAGATGAGAGATGTTGAGCTCTTCATAAGATAGAGTGGTTCGCAAGGATTTGCCACATCAACACCAGACACTTCTCAGAATGCTACTGGACACCGGTGAGGGGAGCAGCACAACACTCATTCAGACCCCTGTCAGCCAATCAGGTGCCAGCTGCTCGTACTGCCGCCAGCATTGGATCCCACTTTGCCTCCTCCGTGTCCTCCTCTTGGCGCCAGCATTGCCCGATTTCGATCCTCGCAATCCGGATCGGTCGTCCAGGTCCCATCTTGAACAGCAACTGCGGTCAGCCTTGATCGCATACAGTGATGAAGAACCGATAGTCGAGGGTTGCCGCAATGGAATGAGTAGGCCTCGCAATGCCATTCACTCTCACTTGGTA